GTGGGGGGGGGCATTGGGGCAGTAGGGGGCATGTTTTTGTGGTGTTATGCACAGTGGTTGCTGTTGTGGTATATTGAAAGACTGCTTGCATCATAGCTATGTGGGGATGAAGGGGGCAGTGGAATACTGTGTATGCTTGGCTACCAAGTGAAACGTTTGAATTAAACTAAACTAACATGAGTTGTCTTAAACAAACTTATCTAATGTTTATCATATATTACTATTAACTTTAAAAATCCTGCATTTCAACATGAAACTAAGGGGTACACAAAAACACCATTTTACTTCCTGTGTTTTTTTTACAAATAAGTATAGCGTATCAATTTCTGAAACCCTCTAGAATGTAGAAATCTTACCATTTCCAGACTGTCAACACCTTTTGTCTTGGCAATGGTATTGTTTTATTTATAACGCCTATACTTTTATGACCATCTCATGTGTTCTACAGATTCCTCCCTGGGCTACATGTTGTGGATATTTTTTTTTAATAAGTTTTGTAGAACTTCAGTAGTTTGACCATTTGTATTCTCAAGCTTCCCTCCATGAAGCTAGCACATCAAAGGTTTAAACTGTTCTCAAGGTATTTTGAAAAATAAAGTTGACATCTAGGTCTTTCCTGGCCTCTTCTGTCTGCATATTTCCTGAACTGACGGCAAAGTTTACGCATCTATAAATTATTCTGTTCATTAACGTTACGAGATGTGAAGTCTTTACAGCTCACTAGCTCTTACCTGTCAGAACCTGGCAGCTCCTGAAATAAAATGTATACTTTTTTTTTTATTCTCATCAGAACTTCTTCTCATGTGATTTAATTGGGTTGTTGACTCATATTTTCTATTTTATTTTTTTATTTAGCTCCTTAGATAATTGCAGTGTACACATAGTTGTGCCTTGTCTGCTGCTGGAGTTTTGGTCCTTGCTGTTCTGGACAACAGATGCGATCTCTCTAGATGCACAAATGTAAATGGTGATGCACGCTAACAGAACAGGGACCCAAGCTACCTTAAGCTTGTCCTTATGTTTGTCATATAATTGGCCCCACGATTACCATAGCAACCAGAAACTTCTTTATATTTGAATGGGCTCAATAGTTTAGAATGGAACACCACTGGTGATCAGGAAGATTTTTGGTTTTTTTTCTCCTTCTGAAGCAAATTGAACCATGCTTTATAGGGGGGGTTTTGCCTTCCTCTGGATGAACTGTGGGTAATTGTGGGCTTAGGGTTCTGTTTATAGAAAATGTTCTTCTGTTATGTGTGCAAAAGCTGCAGCTGCTCCTACTATCTGAAACTTCTAGAATTGTAAGCTGACGTGTCCCCCACTGGTTTTTGCTAGCTGCTCTGTAATGATGTAGGGGCCAGCAGGTGGAACCACATTACAAATTGGGGACCAGGAATCTGATTTTTTTTTCAGATTCAAACAGCATCCGTAGCACTTGAGCAGAATAAAGATCGACGTTAATGGCTGCCAGAAAGATAAATATGAATAATCTTTGTTTGCAGGGTGCTTCTGTTGATCTTTGCATTTCTAGGTAACAGGGTCATTTGAAACTTCTGGTCTATCTACATGTACAGATGTGATGAGGGCCACATTATTTATAAAGTGTTATATTACTGTATTTGTTTTAAAATCCTTGTATCCGTGTACAGTTTGTAAATATGTATGGGAGCAGCCATATTTGTCATTTTTGTTATACACACAGTGCTTCCTGTTTAGTAGTGCTGCACAATTGCTGTGCTTTACCTCTTTTCTTTGCAATACCACAGGGGCAAGATTCAACCTGATTTTAAATAATATTTCACAACTATTGAAAACAGTAGAGTTGTCAATAGATGGCCAGAGATATTTCAACCTCAGGACAGCCATAAAGTGATCATTTTGTTAATGGTAATGCTGTTTTTTCCATAAAAAATTAAGAAGAAAGTGAGAAAAGTGTGGCTGTTCTGCAAGGCCTATTCATAAATGGGTGTGTTTTTATGATTTTAGCTGCATTTTTTTTTATGCAGTAAAATGCATAGATGAGAAAATGCATTGTTTTCTGTAGGTCATATTTCCACCCAGGGGCGTAACTAGAAATCACAGGGCCCCATAGCAAAATTTTGTATGGGGCCCTGTGATTTCTAGTTAAGCCCACCTGATAACGCAAACAGCCCACCTGAGGGTGACCCTGCAGAGCCCACCATAGACTCTCTATGGTGGGCTCTGCAGGGTCTCAGGTGGGGGGTCAAGCCCTCTTACCTGTCTGCTCCGATCCTCTGTCCTCCTCCTCCTCCACAATCGCTTGCGGGCTCCGTCACTGGGCCCCATCTCCTCGATCGCCGGGCCCCGCCTCCCCCATTGATAAGCGCCGCCTCCTCCATCGCTGCAGACAACGGGCCCAGCCACCTCCTCTGAAGCTGCTGGTTGTCACCGACTCAGCAGCAGCTGTGAGGAGGAACGCGTCGCTGCACATGTGAATAGCGGTGCATTCCTCCTCACAGCCGCCAGTGACAGCCAGCAGCCTGAGATGCCATGGCGGCCCACACGGCATCAGGGGGATGTCCTGGCCGAGCCCTCCTGTGCCCCGATCCCCTTAGTGGTCACTTGGGTCGCTATGGTGATTGTTACGCCACTGTTTCCACCAATGATTTGTGTTTCAATGCCTTAATAAAATAGAATACATTGAAATGCTGACTCTGCCTACTAGCTAGGATTCTGGTGTAAACATCCAGTACTTGCATGCATGGCTTATTTGAATAGTTTTTGATAGCACAGTGATTTCTACTACAGCTACTAAGGAATCGCAAGTCTTGGCAAATGGGCTGGCAGGGTTTGTTTGGGCTCTTCGTTTCATAGAAGCTGAAGACTCTGGACTGCTGAAATTGAGTCAACCATGCATTATGATTTATAATGTAATTAGCTTTGAGACTTCTGTCTACTTCC